GGTATTTAAGGTGAGACTGTGTAACTTGGAACTGATGCATTTAAATCTGTCACATGGAAAATGAACAATGCTACTGCTTGGTGTATCTGCAAGTAAAGAAGAAACCGTTACACATGAGTATCTACCTGAAGTCGGCAAATGCAAGTCTTACTTAATTATAACAGAACAAGTAAGACTGTGGCAGCAAGACTCTTGGGTACATCGTTCTGGTTAAAGGTTGCATTGCTTATTCAATTTTGTGTGAATTAGTTTGTCTAGCATGTACAAAAAAAATTGTCCCCTCTCTTGTTATAGATCCAGAGGTCAGCACGGTCCAATGCGACCTACGACCTTTTCGTCATGGTGGAACTCGGAGGCCTTCAGTACAGAAAATACCTGATTAAGTTCTCCGAGACGCCTTGTTCCGGAACGTACAAGTGTGGCCAAACTTATGAAGCTGAAGGAGTTTTGTTTGAGAGACGCAGTGTGAAGGACGGGATGAAAACAGGGAGGTGGCTTCTGCCTGTCCTGAATGAATGTTACAAGCTCATGTTTGACCAGGACACCAATCTACTGCACAGCATCACTTATCTGTAAGAATTTGGACTTGTTTCCTTTATCGTCTATATCTGATCGCGCCAATTTTGTGTATCCTAAAAACATCCTCGTATTTTAGTTTAATATAACGTCTCTTTCACCATTGCTAGTGAGGAGAAAAGGGAAGTAAAGATGACTCAGGATTTCTGGGAATACGACGCAAATGGAGACGTGCAAGCCGGGCCCATCTCTGATAACTACTTCTTCAGCACTAATTATTCAGCTGAGCGGGCCTACAAGGCAGTGGAGATGGAGATTATCCCGGGGAAGATCGTTACTGAGATCAGGCAATACTTCTACAGGTGGGTAAAGGTAACCTGCTCGTTTGCTTTTCCAGGAAATCTGAAGTTTACTTTGCTCTTTTCTTTTCCACCTTTTAGTTGATGAGCAGCTATTAGTTGCGTTCAACACCATCACCCTCCAGCATGTACTCACATTCTGACATGTTCCGTCTTCTAGAGAGGAAGGTGATGAAGACTACGCCTACTCCATCACCACCCGTGTCCCAGAATGCTTTGGCACCAGAGTGCTGTGTCATCGGCTGGAGCAGACCTACTCGCTGGGCCCGCTCCTTCTCAACACAGAGGTCGTCCTCAGAACCAGCTCCTCCTTGAACAACAACAAGACCCTGTACACGGACGACAATGGCTACCAGATGGTTAAGAGGACATACAGGAAGTTTGCTAGTAACACTGTAGCAAGGGTGGGTCCTTAGATAATGTGAGATTTGACATGAGAATGTGTCGGTATTAATAAAATAGTGGAACATGTGGGGTAATCTGTGTGTAATTTTGTAGAACTACTTCCCCATGGTTCGGACAGCCTACCTTGAGGATGACCTCAGCAGACTGGTGCTTCTTAGCGACAGAGCTCACGGTGTGTCCAGCCAAGTCAACGGACAACTACAGGTATTAAAAAAAAGCCACATAAATACACTGACTGAGCATCTTCTCATATGGAAACATCTCACCATCCTGTGATTCACCCCAGGTCATGCTCCATCGGCGTCTGTGGAACAACATGCCCTGGAACCTGGGCTACAATCTGACCCTGAATGATAGCTCGGTTGCGAGGCCCACGCTGTGGATGATGCTGGGCTCCATAAGTGCCACCTCCAAGCTGTACCAAAGGGAGGCAATAGAGCTGCAGCACAGACCCATCATCATGCCAATAGACCAGCCTCGTAAGTGCTTACATTTCTGGCCTACGTGCAAATATTAATCCTCTCTTAGCAGTTGCAAATTTCCTGAACCGTGGCAATAAAATGAATAATTGTCACATTATAACTGTTAGAGGGTGCATAGGCTGGGTTAACTTGGGCTACACATGAAGGTAATACGAATATGTAAAGTAAAAATTGAATGTAATAGCTTATTGTTAGAAGTCACTATCTTCAATTAAATTTACATTTACTGAGATGACTGGAAGACAAAAAGGTCAAAGACTCTTGATTTTCAGCACTCATGCTGCTAAAACAATTCTATATCTTGGGTTAGTTGACAAATCTTGCCAATCTTTTGTATCTTTAGAGAAGCCCTGGCTGGAGACGGAGCCCAAAAGCAGTTCTCCTGTGCGTTCAGTTGTTCTGCCACCCAACCTCCACCTGCTCAGCCTCAGTATCCCAGGATGGAACTACAGCTCCAATCACGATGTTCACCTCAGCCACATACACTCAGGTCTGCTCTGAAAACTCCTGTTCACACACAATTCTTGCTGATTTTTCTCAGGCCTTTTTGACTTTGGCCGTTTGTCAATGAGATTCAGCTGTGTAATCTATTTATGCTTAAGTAGGTAAGGATTTGCACTCAGAGCCAGACTACGATCGGGTCCTGTTGAGAATCATGCACATCTTCGAGGAGGGAGAAGATCCAGAGCTTTCAAAGCCAGTCACTATTAACTTAAAGGTATGAATAAGAAATGAAAGTTAGTTTTACAGCTTGAATGTTTCTATTTTTAACATAGAATTTGCATGATCATTTTCACTTTCAATGTGAGCAGGATGCTCTGCGGGGCATAGGGGAAGTGAGAGTGCTGGAGGAGCGTTCTCTCACAGGAACCTGGAATATCAGCAGTCTGCAGAGGTGGAAGTGGAAAACTGCAGATAACTTAGAAAAAAGTGAGAAAAGAGGAAACACTATTCGGAGTGATGTATCTTCTGATTATGTCCAATCACTGTAATGCTACACGTCACTGCTTATTAAATGAAATGCTTATTTTTAAGGAGACTTGCAGTTATACATACATTAGGCACAGTGATAGCTTCATCCCTTCACCCATCCTTTTGCTTTTTCTCCTCTTTTAGAGAACGGATGGTGTCAGAAGTGTGAAGGGGAAGACTTCACGGTGACCATCTCACCCAAAGAGATCAGGACCTTCTTTGTTCACTTCAGCGCCACAAAGTTTTAGACTGAACTGCCTTTTTTCTTCTGTGAAGACTGCCGATCATTAGACGAAATATGACCAAGCTTTTAAAGATTTGAACCGTTGCTACACTGTTGTTATTAAATGCTGTTTTTGCACATTGTGTTGATTTGTTTGGAAGCACTTAAGTGTTGATGAAGTGTAAACTTCCTGTTGACTCTCACAGAATAAAGTGATTATTTTTGCCATGTTTGTTAAAATATTTGTGTCAGATGTCTCATTTCACTCTCACGTGTTAACAAATAAAGTCTATGATAGGGAGTGCAGATGAGGTTTATCTTCATCACTGATCATTAAAGCGTGAGCATTGTATTTGCATAAGTATCCTAAATTAAGCCCAAGCAGACCCTTCTTAAAATCGGTTTCCTACTTGTCCTGTGACCAGAGATTTTAGACCAGACTACTCTGACAAAGAGAGAAAGCAAACAGTATCCAGATCGTATTTTTGTGTACATAATGTGAAAATGACAAAACCAACTTGCATGATTTACTTTTCAAATTTAAGAACTGAATTTTTAAAAGAGGTGTATTTCTTATATGTGTATGTAGTTCAGTTTCAACGAATAGTCTGACAATTTGGGAACTACACACATTTTTATACTTGCCAAGAGTTACATGAGAAGGTTGATAACACACCATGTAGTAAATATGAAGCTAGTAGCCGTAGATGATTAGCTTATGTTAGCACAAAGACAACAGGGGCAAATTATTATGGGTTTGTCCAGCGTTAGGAAAGAAAGTACAGCAGCTTATAATGCCTTTAACATGTTTATGCTGTTTGTTCAATTCAAAAGCAAGAATTTGCAGCTTTGCAGAAAAGTCACAACTGTGCTAGGGATTTTATGGCTATATGCGAAGCTACAGAGCCAGAAGGTTATTAACTAAGGTTAGCATAAAGATGACAAAGGAAAACTACTAACATGGCTTTATCCCCCCTACCCCATAAAAAAAGAAGAACAAAAATTACAGCAGGTTCCAACTGTGTTTACCATGTTACAGTTGTTTATTTATCTGAAATTAAAATGGAAATAATTTATGGCTATATCATAAGCTAAGGAGTCAGGAGATAATTAGCTTTGTCAGAAAGACAATATGGGCACTGGTTTTGCTCAAAGGTGTTTTTTTTTTTTTCAATAAAAAAATGATTTAAATACCTTAAACATATCATATTAGTTTGCTAAATTCAAATGTAAAAGCCAGAAGTCACAGTTTTACAGGGAGATATTTGAAGTCACAGAAATGCTAATAATGTATGGCTATATGCTGAGCTAAGGAGCTTGGAGATGATTAGCTTAATTGAGGACAAAGACGACAGGGGAAAACCACAAGTCTGTCTTTATTTTTCTTTTTTTAAATGTACAGCAGCTCTCTAACTGCCTTTAACATATGAAGTTGTCTATTGAATCAAAATATTAAAATATAAAAGTGTTAAAGTGAGAAGTTACAGCTTTACGGAGTTAGCTGAATGAGCTAAGACTTTGAAATGCTAAGCTAAGCCGAAACCTTCATTCTGAACACACTGATATGAAAGTGGTATTATTTATTTTTTTATTTTTTAAATTTATTTTTATCCAGCTCTTATTAAGAAAATGAGTCACCACATTCTAAAATGCCAAACTATTACTTTAAATATTGAAGCTAAATATTGTATGTTAGCTAGATAACTGGAGTTAGACTCTGGGGGCTGATAATGAGCTAGCTTGTAGCAAACAGCATCAATTACCTGGTAGATAAGGGAAGGTTTTGCTCCATTTACAGCCCAACAAAATAACAGGAATCATCTCTGGGAAGTTGAAACCAGACTGCAGTCTGCCGACATGGCCGCTAGAGGCTTCACATCCCGTTAACTTCATGCTGCAACCGACAGCGGATCAACCAAAAGGCAACACCCGAGGAGAGCAGAACCCGCTGTGAGCATCACCGTAGCAGTAAACCAGAGAAAAGGACGCCAAGCAGCAGAATATACGGCTTTAGTGTTGGCATGCAGCAGCTCATCACACGCCATGATCGCCTGTGAGGGAGACGACACTGTCTGCAATTTGGTACAAGATGAGCAGTGCTAGTGTAAGTGCTGTTTCTCCCATAATGTGATTGTGAATTAAGATCGGAACCGACGTTCTGGAGGCAACCTGATGCATTTTGCTGCACGTAATGTAATGTTTGCTCTCAATCTTTGCTGTGCCCCTGTTTTTGCATCATCTGTTATTACCAATGGAGTCTTTATTATCGATGGATGCTGTGAGGAGGCGTTGCATGTGTTGCTAGGATACTAGACTGGGAGGGTGTTGATGGGTTGAGCCCCCTAAGGTGCTGTAGGAGAATATTAGGTGCTGTAGTTTTTTTTCTCTCTAGCTTTGTGTATTAATATATTTCTTCTCTATGTGTGTGCAAATAGAAACGAGAGAGGGAGCAGAAGAGGAAACTGCAGCACTTTCTGAGTGATCTGGCTCTACTTGGATCATTGCAGGTCTGACAGCACACACAGTGCATGAACAGAAGATGTCAAACACGGCTCACCAAAGCATCCCTTTAAAAACACTGTTTCCACCGACAGGGTTTTAAATACTTCCAGCCGTGGCTAAGAGGGAAGGAGGAGCTGCTGCTGACAGTCGTCAATGAGGATCTGGTCAGTTTCTGTCGACAAAATGTGTGATTATGTGTATAAAGCAGACACACGTCTCCACAGATGTCAAAATAATGGAATAATTCCTGCAATCCAGTCCATTCATCACAACAATGTAGCAGGAGATTGAAACGTTATACAGATTTTTAAACTGTGAGACTTTCCTCAAAAGTCAAAATATGGCATAAATGTCCTGCCGTTCTTCATTCTTATTTGTCTTGACTCTCCTACAGCTTTCCTTCTCTGTGTAGATTCTCGGCCATCTGGGTCATCGCAGCTCTAACAGCTTCAGTAGAACACAGCTGGATTTCTTCAAGAACAAATCTATTTTTCACCTTTCATCCATGAAGTTAGTCCCAGGTATAAGCTGTCACCCCCAGATCACATGGCTAACCCAAGTCTCACATGCCTCAAGGTGCAAATGGTTGTGAAAGTGCCGGGTGAGGGAGGACTCAAGGTGCTGATTGTGATAAAACTCTTGCTGTCAATGTTCACATTCTGCACAAAGGAGACACGAGAGGAAGACATTTGTGTGAAACAGCCATCTCTAAATAGAGATGACGTATCAGTTATCTATAATGCAGCTCTGAGATTCATCCCAGGCTGTTTCACCACAATTAACACCTTTAGTCACGTAGTTTCACGACCATTCACACCTAGTCATGTGAGTCTAGGGTAGTTCCTGGTTCATTAATCATAGCACTAGGGGGTGACAGCACATTCCTGTCCTTGGATGGGAGTTAAGATTCCAGAACCAAAAAGAAGTCTACTTGTCTTCTTTGAAGCTGTTAGGACTTGTCTGTTTATTTAATATCAATAACTGCTACAGGAACTAAGCCCTTCTCTCCCCTTTATCATCCCTCTCCTTTTGTGTCCCACCTCACAGGGTTGGCGTTCCCCGGGCTTCGTGGTGTCCCGAGCCTCCTCCTACTCGTCCACCAGCAGCTGCAACAGCAGCGATGTGTCCCCCAGCAGCAGCTCTCCCAGCCTGGCCAGCCGGAGCAGCTCCCCCCTGCCTGGGGAGCCTCAGGGCCCACAAGACTCCCAGTCGCACACACATGCCAAGACACAGCCACGGATTGCCAGGTGATCGATGCAGCCTCGAGTGCTGTGTCTGAAAATAGTAACATGCATATGTTTCTGGGGCAGCCTGCGATGCTTTTGGCATTTTAAAACTTACATAGTATATTTGAAACAACTGATTTAGGTCGACGTTGGCGTTATTGGTGCATCACATCCTGTCTGTGCTGTACTAAACAAAACAGCATCTCAACGCTTTCACTGATGCAGGTGTTAAAGCTGATGTGGCCTTTCTTCATATTGTTTGAATGGTTAAAGAAATTAGCAAGTCGCTATAGTAATAGTTCTGATACATGTCACTGTAGAGCTGATGACTGATTCTCTGCTTGTCAAGTAAATACGGTACAACTATGATGTGAACGTATGTCTATAAACCCACTGAATTCTGGCAGCTCTCCAAGGCTGTGAGACAAATGTATAGAGACCAGAAAATAAATACATCTGCTTGCACAGTCACATTGGTTACCTCTTTCTGCATTCACAGGGAGCCCAGCAGTGAAGAGCATCTGCTCCCAGCATCTCCTAGTGAAAGAGAGATAGCAGTACCTGTGAGTAAAGAGAAGGGCAAACACCAGGTCACAAGTGTTGGACGCATTGTCAGAAAGCCACTTCTGTTCTTCTAACATTAACTTGCTCACTCAGTAACACAAACCTCCACTTTATCCCTGAACAGGAGGTCAACTGCACTTTGTTTTTATTGGCCGGATACGTCAAGTACGGACGCCCCTACGCCTGGATACGCTCCAATCACGAGCGCCTGGTCAACATCGGCGGCACCGATTCGATGGTCAAGGACACGCCCATGAAACTCAAGTCCATCGCAGACTGGCAGACACGAGGTATGGAAACAATGTGTGGAATCCTAACAGGAGAAAGTTATTGTTTGAGTGCACAGATTCAATAATTACACCATTTTCCATGAGCTTAATCAGATGCAGATGTCTGGTCTTGAGTTTGCAGAGATTAGTGTTTGGTGTGGATTTGGTTGGTGGAAAAAAGCTTCATGTGCTTTAGATATTAAGTTACTGGTATAAACAAAAACTCTTCCGTTCTTTTTTGCAGGTATTCGTGTGTGGGATGTTGTTAGTGAGCTGGTGTGCCTGTGCACTGTTCCCTCGCCCTCCAACCCCTTCGCGCTGGACATGCGTTACATCAAAAGTCTTCCCGTTCCGGACCGCTTCCTCGTCACAGGGGCTCTTCTCAACTTCCTGGAGATGTATGTGATTTACGGCAACCGGGACGAGCTGCACTATGACAAAGGTGGGACACTTTGGAATGCTGCAGTACAGTAAACCACTGTTATATTAAAACACTGCCATTGTTGTACTTATAAAAGCCAGCAGGGGGTGCTGTTTAGCCACATTATGAAGACATCAGACCTATTTCAAGCCTTTACGACCACTACACTACACCAAAGAATTTGAGGGTGTCAGTTTATGTTTGTGATGATATCGTTCTCTCCTTCCAGTGGCAGAGGAGGTGAAGCCTCTGAGGCGTCTCCACGTTCAGTCCCTGCTGGAGTTACAGCGGCTCAGAGAGAGCTCCGGGTCGGCCAGCAGCCACACGGCGCAGGACTCATCCGCAGAGGAGTAACTGTAACTGTATACGATCCACTTCAGGATGGGGCACTTTTACTGCCGTCTCATCAGGTTCAAATGGGTGAACTCTCACTAGGAGGACTTCCTCTAGAAGGATGCGGTTTTAAATTTGATTTGTGTGCGTGTTTTACGGTTTGTTGCAGGAAAACCTGACTCATTGTATTCATTTTTAAGGCGCAGACTCTGGGGATTACTGCACACGCGCTGTGCAAACCTGTTTGTTTCAAAGCTGCAGTATTCAGACGGAGCTCTTTCTGCATCTGCACTACGGTTAGAAGGTAGTCACGTGTACCTAACTTTTTGAATGTGAAAACACTGGAGAAATGACCCTGGGAAACAAGTCACATGACAGATTAAAAATCCCAGGACCTCTCTGAATATCTTGCCCTGCCACCTCTAGACCCTTCAATCGCTCCCTCTCCCACACACACACAGTCAAAGACAAGAATTCTGTTTTCTTCTGGCCAAATATAACATTTTAAAACTCGAGCCGGGAAGCAGAACCATTAATCAGGGTCAAAGCTGCACAAGCTATATCTGGTCAAATATTTGTCCTAACAGTGGTATGAGAACAACATGTATTGACACAAACAAACAAATAAATGCTGTATAAAAAGTTTTAATATTTCATAAAATACATATTTAATTAAATATGTACAGTGACATAAAACAGTACATTGATAAAATACATCTTAAAGCAGGCATATTAACCCCTTTTCTGAGATGAGGGTTGTGCCATTTGTAACTGAAAAGATACATCAAGTACAAAAAGTTAAAAAAAAAACTAACTGACAAAAAAAAACCTAGTGGCACATCAGTCAAAAAATACAGACACCTTTCCTGTTTAAAAAAGGAGAATTTCTAGCTTAGTTTTGGTCAGAAAACACAAAATGAGAAGTTAATGGTAGCTTCAGGGCGTACCACTAATCCTCAAGTCTCTCATTTGTAAACCTTAAGATTGAAATCACCATCATGAGAGCCTGTTATGCAATGCAGCACATATCAATGCCTATAACCGTCACTTTAAATGGACTTAAGTAGCTCGGGCACCTTTTATGGCTTCGGTGATGTGAAAAAGCGGAGGGCTCAACAGCTAAAAGCACATTGTAGCATTTACTGACTAGGCTGCTCAACATGCAAAGTCATGGATGGACATGAAGAGGAATTTGGGGCTTTTAAGAAGATTCCCGATCTCAAATTTCCCCCCAATTGGAATGCAGGTGCATGGCTATGCATTCCTCACAGAGGCTCCACATGGGAACACAGTGTTCCCAGTGTTCGGACACACACAAACAAAAAGCCGCAAGTCATGGCTGAGTGTGTTTTTCCACATAAATGCAAATAACTTATCACGGATGACGGTTGGGATCTGCTGCTTTTTTTCTCGTTTTTTTGCAGGATGTGTAAGTGAAGGGTTTTGTTGACCCTGCAATTTCTGCAAGGGTCTGTTTTTGATTTTATGATGCAGGTGCTGGGCCTGTCATACATTTCATGGAAACTGATGACCTCTTAAAATAATAATACATTTTTGATTCCTTGAATAGAACTTTAAGATTATTGAATAAAAGGACTAATTAAAAAGTGCTAAAATATGACTAACTGCATTTATGCGCATTACAGACTAAGAATTTTAACTTGACTTTTGTATGATATGCCTGCATTTTCCATCCACCTTGAATTTGTCCATCCAATACCAAAGTAGAGAACAGAGACAAGCTTGCTCATGCCACAGGGTTTAAAAAAAATAAAAAATCATCTTGACCGGTCACAAATGTCAGTTAAATAAAAATCAAACTTCAAAAACATCCAGACTCTCCTTGTCTTTTCCAGTTTTGCCTGTGGAATATTTGGCCAACAGCCAGTATTGTTGTTGGTGTCTTTCCAACAGAACAAATTCTTTGGTGGCTTCAGTATCAAGCTGAATACTTTACAAGCAAGCCAACCAAAACGAGACATGGACTTGCCCCAATCCAGTCCTCAAATGGCCTCATGTCCAGTCAGTCACAAGTCCTCACATATCTGTTGACAAGTGAACAAAAAGGCAGCGTTTTGTGCCGTTTGGACGCGACTCTTGCAAAAGACAACAGACAACTTTGCTGCGTCAAAAACCTTCAAGTCCACTGATTATGGCATCATCCTCTCACAAGCAGTCCTCACACATTCAAATGTGGACTTTCTCACTTCCCAGTTTCATCCCTTTTGTCCTTCCTCATGTCTTGCAATCAGTCCCTCCCTTAGTTCGTTCAGTGCCTTCACCCTTGAGGTTGTCATCAGGTTAATGTGGTCCCACATTGACGTGTTACAGCGGGGCTTCAGTTCCAGGTGTCAGAGGCAGATCCTCTTCTGGTGATGGCTTTGAGGGGGCTGCGCGACACAGAGCCTCTCTTCTTCCAGCGAACTGTAAAGAAAAGACGTAAGAAGAGACAAAAGCTTAGCAGCTGCCAGTGAAAAGTGAGCACTGGTTGGTGTTTAAAAGTTAATTAAAACAGTGAGAGCAGTTTGTCAGCCTTTACTCTTACGTGACCCAGTGAGACTATTCTTTCACCACCACTTACACAGCTGTTGGTTTTCATTACTTTCACTGGTTGGGCTTGAGAGCCGCACCAATATTCTCATTCTGAGCGACTACATTATGGCTAACAGAGGACAGCATAATAAGGACAATGAAGCAGGGAAATTTTAAAACCGCTAAAGGGCACTCTGAAACTACAGACTTCTGTTTTCTTTTTGATAACCTTCTCCAACCAAGCCAAAACAGACCGGAGTCAGACTTTTTGACATTTACTAAAAATGTCAAATTTTTCCATAGATGCGTCACTTTTGGGGAAAATGGTACCAAAACAAGTTCAGGATAGCTGGGGAGATAGGCTTAAATTACAATTTGTGTTGAATCTCACCTTTTCCCAGACTGGCCGGCAGCGTAGAGCTCTTCGTGTTAGCATGAGAGTTGGACGACTCCTCTACACGTTTTCCTTTTGTCTCTCCTGGCAGCAGCGTGGCCGAGCCGTCCTGCTGCCAGTCGCTCAGCGCCTGCTGGAAGGAATGTGCCAGGCAAGCCGTCATGTCTCGCGCCCGCTCTGCACGACTGCACCAGAACACCCGACACTGCAGCTGCTGCCCGTGATGTTTGCAGATGTACAAGAAGACATTGGGTCGGTTGGCATCTGCGGCACAGTACGCAATGTCCTGCAGGTACGTCTTAGTGAGCTGCCGTCCTGTGCTCAGTTCTTTAACCTCGACGTATCGGGGGCGCACCACCAGAGCGTGATCTTTTCTCAGCTTCTTCCCATTAGCAATACCTTCCAGCAAATGAGTAATAGCGTCCTGGGCCTGCTCTCGGTCCAGAGAGAAGATTTTCTCTGTGCCCAAGTAGTGGACTTTAAATAGAGGATCGCCATGGGACAAAGACTCTGTTCGGTCACGGCGGAAGCGGCGCCGTAACGCGGCAGGAGAGTTCTTCAGGGTCTGCATGAGGTGGAATGTGCTGAGGGACATTGTGTTCTTCAGGCTGGGTTTGGAGGGAATGTTGGTTGAGGTGTGACTGCCCGTTTTTGCTTGGTTCTCCTTAGAGCCTCTCCCAATCTTCCACCTTTCTTCTATAAATGGAGCGTAGTTGCATCCACTGCCTTTATCTGAAATTAGGTAGATACAAGAGTGACGTTAGTGGATCAGCTTCAAAGATGCAAAAAGAATCCAGTGAGACAGATGCTTCAGTTTTGTTAAGAGTTAAATAAGGTAAAAGAAGAGGCTACATCTAGGAAACGGCTTGTTATCACACGAAGGATTTTCTTAGATATTTCATAACTTTCACTACGGTACAGTATTTGTGCAGTCTAAACTATGCGCCTCCTTGAAAAAAAAACAAAAAAACATGCATGTCAGCACAACTTGTACCCAGAGTGGAAAAACAAAAGGCCACCAGACAGGATCGGTTACGAAAGTGACGCATTCAGCGTGAAATATTCATTCAGCACAGACACCAGCCTTTAAATATTTACAGGCAGGTTTGGCTGGGCTTTGTCCTCAAACCAGTCGACCCCTTAAGAGACACACAAACACCCTGATAGAACTGGAAAAATGCCAAAATAAATGGAAGATTTCTGTAAAACACAAAAGTGACACAGTGCCTTCTTCAAACTCGACCCTGTGTCATGTATTACAAACAACCCTCAGAACACCAGACTATGAGTTACTGGAGGACTTGAAGGCTTCTGTGACCTTGTTAACTCAAGTATTATGCAACCACATCTGGCCTCCCATTGTCTCCCATCCTACAAACCCACAGAACCGCCCGCTCTCCATTGTGTTACTCTTTGTATTTTTTCCTCTTTCGCTTTTCTTGGCTATTCTTTCAACATCCTAGCTCCCTCCTCAGAAGTGAGTTGCAGAGAGAACCACCGACTGTTCTAAGGTGGTGGCCATTGTTAGTCAAACCCCTGTGCAGGAAACAGCTTTGCATCCCCCCCCTTCTGAAATATTTCTCCTACAAACAATGGCATGCTTTAGCGAGTGTGTCACATCACCAAAGAGATACAAGTTGACCCATGCCCAGGTCGACCCAAATCATGTACACCTGCACTTGCATGTATGGGTCACAAACATGCTAAATCATTGAAAATACAACTTAATTGGAAATGCATGTACACTAACAGATATTAACTCTGCATTTATCCAAAGCTACTAAGGTGTTGGCTTTTTCCATCACTGGGCACAGAGATTAAATCAAATGTAATCTAAATTTGCATCAAGGTGAGACCGCACGTGCGTCAAAGTATCTAAATGTAATCTGAATAAACAGATCTCTTGTTGTCTGCCATGTGCAAAGAGCTGTCACATGTAAACAGTTCATACTGTGCAGAGCCTGTGGAGGTGGACACAACATTTCTGCTTATATGTGCCTCACACATTTGTGCTAAAGAACCATTACGCATGATGATATATTCTTGGCCAACACTTGATTCAAAATATGTGTCAAACTAAAACCACACTCAACACAGAAGGGAAATAAGAGGCGGCCAGTTCTTCAATAAACGTGAACATGAGGGATGTGGCTCCTGTAATCTTGATGGAGCAACAGCATGAAGTTAATTCAAATTATGTGCTGCTCACTTCAATGCCGAATTACCAAACAATCACTGATGATAACTTAAAGCGACTCAACAATATGTAATGCGAGGCAAAATATCATAAATAAGCAAGTTAATTTTAAAATGACAGATTTTCCAGCGGGGTTCTGTGAGGGGTGACGTTCTGTGTTTTACAACGCTTTGTGGCAAAAAAGAAAAAAAGCTTTAAACTGTCACAAACCACTCACATTGTAAAAAAATATGTAAAGAGGAATAAACTTTTTTTCTAAAACATAGTTACAATTTGTTTTTTTTAAAGAAAAGTGGAAGTAACTCACCTGGCCACAGTTTCATGCAAACGATGTCCGCGTGCACCTCAGGTGAACCGTAGCGTCCTTTGAAAGTTTGAGAGGCACCGAGCAGGTGGAACTAACCTGCTCGTTCACATAAAAGTGTTCGATTGGCGGGGAAGATAAATGTTGAAACGGAACTGTCGGTACGAACAAACTTCTCAATCCCGCTCCTCTTTCGGCTGTGTGTGCTCGGAGCTGCGCGGTGAGGCGGTTAACGACCAGACTGCACGTCGCTCTGCTCTCTCTGCTAGTGTGAGTGAATCACGGAGCTCGTGGGACGAGCGTTTTAAACAGCGCAGGCGCGGCCTCGTCACACACACGTGGACGAGCACTTGCGTCTGCAGCGGTGAGGAGGCTGGTTGGTGTGGGAGCAGAGGGAGGGCTGCAGGGTGAAAGTGTTGATTTACGGCACAAAAGGGATTTACAGTACATGGCAGGATGGGCAACAATTGAACTATCTTTGTTCACTTACTGGCATTAAGGCTTTAAGCAAGATTGATGACACAGCGTATTCCTTCTGTACATATTTACATGCACATCAGAGGTTTATTGGTTTTCTCTCCAAGTGGCTTTAAGATTGGTTAAATCATTGTGTAACAGCAGTGGTGATATGTATATAAGTACATTTATGTAAGCACTGTATTTGAGGATATATTTTGGGTTCTTTACTTGAGTTCATAGGTACAGATTTGAAGGGCGATGCAGGGAACATGCCCCCCTTGGTATTTAGAACACCTGCATTTGTCCCCCCAAAATAAAATAGACTTTAACATTACTAATAGACACAACAGTAGGCTGGTTTCCACTGCAGGAGCTTGCAGGCTGTTTCAGAATGGCTCCTGTTGAATCTCTATGAGGGACAGAAACTAATCTACTCCAGGGTAGGTCCTGAAAAATGCAGGTTTTGACCTTTATTGGTTTACCTGAAAGAAGACAAATGCTGATTGATGAAGCCCAGAGAGGACAACAGGCACCATTTTTGTCTCCTCTCCTCATCCAGTATCAGTCTTCTCCTCCACATCACGATCAACAATGGAACATTTGCCATATAGGGGAACATAACAAACCCTCCATTGTTCTATTTCCTGCATGCTCATAGAACTAGACTTACATCCACTGACTGCTATTTGTTGTTGTTTTGGCATAGTTGGAGTCATGATCGAAGATGTCAGACCAAACTCAGTAACGGGAACAGAATGGCTAAAAGGGCCAATTAGGAGGTTGTTTTCCCCAAGTTCCTGCAGTGGAAAGTCACCTCATGCCTCAGTTAAGGGGTGTCACATCTTCTATTGTGGCAAACATAATTGGAGGCGTCTACATACCAACATATTTTGAATTGTCATCTGAATTTTGTGTTTTCCTTTACATATATGAAGACTTTTCCAGAACAAATTGATACAGAAAAGGCACAAATTAGTGAAGAAAATTTTGTCAGAATGCAGGAAATCAAGTGTTTGATGCTGGTGGTGGAGACACAGCATCTGCTTAATGTCATCCATCTAACTCCATTTAGGATCAGTTTCACGGGACACAGATTTTTATTTATTCCAAAGTAGCCTTACTGTGTGATCGGATCAGGTTGTTTTAGAAATAGTCAATTAGCATGCCTAAAAATCAATCGCATACAGAACAGTAAGTGAATTAAGAGAAAAGTTGACCACCAGTCATTTTCATTGCATATTAATCTCTTTCCCACATTTTTAAATAGTTTTTTTTTTTTTAAAAAAAAACTCAATTCACCCAATTTACAATATCCACAATACAATAGAGAGAAATTGAGCAAATCTCCACATTCAAACAGCTGGAACCAACAACTTTTTGTCATTTTTTTGTTTTTCAAATTACTAAAATAGATGGAAGATGACCACAGTTAACAGATGGACAAATTCTTAAAGCACCAGCTAAGACATTTTGTGTAAACAAAAACAAAAAAAACCATAATATTTCTGCATCGACCGATATAAATATGTACAAATGGAGACTATTTTTGATACCAAGTGAATTGACATAATTCCACAAGCCCATGACAGCATGCTCCTCCAACTGAGAGTTTCACGTTTCTTTACTTAAACATATGTGCGCTACATGGTGGGGAAACATCTGAAACCCACTACCTTTCATTACCATCACGTTGCGTCACAGCCCGTCTCTAATGGGGATCATTGGCCTCACTGCTTCAGTTCTGCTTCAAGTGTTTATTCTGGGGGCATTTTGAACAGTGGCAGAGGAAAACTTTAAACGGTTCCATGTGTGTACGCGTCTGTATGTATGTGTGTGTGTGTGTGTGTGTATGTGTGTGTGTGCAGCTGGGTGTGCCTGAGATGAAGAAACAGTAGGGCCCCTGTTTCTTCTGGGTTTGGCCCAACAACAGTTAAGTTCTGGACGTCACACTCGCCTCAGTGCCTAGCAGGACACACTGGAGCTATTCTTAGGGCACCGGTGACATAATGGATCATCTCAGACAGGCACCCACCCTCCCTACGTATCTCACAACGGGCACTGAGAACAAGCTCAGCATCCAAACTGTGGCACAAGCAGTCCTGCAGCTGCAGTTCTTGAGCAGGCGAGAGCATGTTGCGGCATGTTGCGGCATGTTACATTACAGGTACGGGGCACTTTGTGCTCCAATTAAGAGACCCATTCAGGGAGTACATACATACAATGAGGTCTTCAATTGCCCACTTGATTGGTAACGACTCTCGAGGTCAAAGCACGCAAGACTGAAGAACAGGGGCGGAGTTCTGGATACTTCTCAGGTTCAATCCTTTTTAAAACTATCATTGTTTACTAGAAACATTCTGCAGCATACCTTGTATTTCCAGTAGTGTTTTGGTATGTAGCCACATTACATTGACTTTTGTAGCCATGCTAGCAGTGTTGAAACAGGAATGGGGGTTTCAGTCAGTCAGTTGATTTGTCTCGAGTAAACAGTTGGAAAGGCTGAAAATAACATTCTGCCCAGATATCAATAGGTGTCCAAACTTGGGGCAGGTGCGACGTGGCATAAACTTCTGCAGAAACAGCACCGTAATCTGCCCTTTCAGGATTTCTGTTTCCACTGAGGAGCGAGATCCAACAGCTTCAATGAGCTACGTGACGTCAACTCTGGAAAACCACGACAAAGAGCAGTTACTGGACTTAACTCCAGTTGTAAGCACTTGTAAGAAATAGAAAAAGGAGGGTTTGTTAAGGTGAATTTTAAGTTGTTGATGGTGACATTAGAGAAAAGAAGGATACAACTTGACAACTAGATTAAGAGGGTGGAAAATGGCATTTCCTGTCTTCTCTGAGTTTAACCAATCACAAAAGTCTTTCAGGGTTGCGCATAAGTACCTATCCCAGAGGCCCTGAGACGGCCTTTAAGTTCCTGAGAGTTTCCCGAGAAACAGATCCTATAGACTTTGATGGTCCTTGAAACTTCCCTTTCAGTTGAATTGAATGCCACTGACTTAATAGTCAATGTTACCATCAGAATTAAATGTCATAAATATCATTGTTTTTAACAGACGACGACCAAACCGGGCACTCCCATCAGCCTCACCTGTATTTTAGCTGTGTGGCCACATCCTTTGAAGGCTGTATTTGAAGACTGGATAAGTCACAACGGCGCGACTAGGCAGTCCAATTTTGACAACTCCTTCAAACCAAGAAACGCTGCCAACTTTTCCCAGGCACTGGGTCCTTCACAGCCCAAACTATCCCAAGATTCAACGTGCGCTGTTCTGCAGCTGTTTCCACTTTTTTTTGTTGTCTTCGTCTCCAGACAGCATGAATCGTGGCCAGTTTCAGCTGACATGGATGAATAATTTCAACCTTCCTGACTGAAAAAAATCGCTAAAGACTTCTAAGTTTTGTTTGTTTCTTCATCTTCTTCATGTTTTTTCACTGTTAGGATACAACCATTTTTTTGGCAGCTTTTTCTACTTTGTTTATGGCAGCTATGTATAATGTCGCCTGTACCTTCACGTTCTGATGATTTTTATCAGCTTAGTTTATTCGCGACCAAAACAGTAAATGGAAACAAGCCTAAACATTTTTTGTGACATTTCAAAAGTTTGCTTAAAATATGCTTGACATTTATATGGAAACACGTCAGTTTTGAGCATGTTTACATGAGATTGGCAAAGTAGACATGTGGCATCACATAGCCGCTATTCTTGGCAGGAGAAACACATAAATCATCAATATTTAATGTTAATCCAATAGTCACAGTGGAAAGTATTTTTTTAGATTATACAACCACACATAACCACATTATTATCAGTGGACCTGGCTGCTACAGACACACCCAGTTGTTCAGAAACTAATTGTCAGCTATTAATTCAAAGGCTCTGACTACTGCGTATATGACTGAAACTAACAAATTAGCAACCCTCTCAGGAGGCAATTACAAGTCATTGTGAGGTAACAAAGGCAATCTCTGACCACTGAAAGCAGGGGGAAGGAAAACGGGCAGTCCGAGAGAGTATAATTGCATCAGTTCATTACAAAAGAGCTCCTTGAATGTAAAACCGCTCCTTGAATGGTCAAAGTCAACACAGTTCACAGCCAAGCAAAGAGGAAATTTAGGGATTTCAGAGAAAAAGGAACAGAGTGTACCCTAAACCAGAGAGACAAGTAGCAGAGAAAGGGAAAATAAAACACTTGCTGATGAGATTAGGTTTCAATTCACACTATAAATAGACAATAAATGACCCAAACCGGATGGCTATTTCAACTCCAGTCAGCCTAAAGCTCTCAAAATCAGGGGCTTTGTTCCAAGAAGCACGTTTCCTGAGTCATATAGAACAAACTGTTAGAGGAAAAAAGGGTTGTGGCCTGTGATGTCTTGAGAACATGGATGTAACACTTCTATTGTTGGAAGCAAGGCAAACAGAAAATTTAGGAAGTAAAATTCCACTATATAAGAACACATGTGTTTTACAACCAGTTCTCGTTTTCTAAGGGCCTTAAATCAAATGTCTCTGGCATTTACTGATGTATATCGGCAGTACTTAGACTTGTCAACAATGAAGGTAACATTCCAGTTCGATATCTCTGAGTTCTGTTGGAGCAAAAAGCACTTTACAATCTGTTCCTCCTGGTACGAACACAACCAGCACTTTACAAAGAATGCCGTGAACTTTTACCTTCTTTTGATAACTGTTAAAGTTTCAGTTCAGGCTCAAATTGAAACATCTCAACAGCCTTTAGATGGACTGATATTTATGTCAGTCCAACATAACCGCGGTTTGCATGGTTCATTTATCCAGAGGAT